TGTTTTTTCCCTTACCAGTTTCGAAGGCATTTTTTGCCAAATCGTCGTAGTTGGCTTTTTTCCACACTGCTCAACCTCCGAGGCCAAAACCAAGTGCTCCAAAGAGTAATCCAAGTCCAGCAACTGCTATTAGTCACATTGGAACAGAACTACTTTGTTCTTCTTCTTGATTGATATTTTCTTTATTTTCTACCATAATGTATTTTATTTTTGTATTTTTAATTCCAGTGGTTTTTGGGGAGAACTACTAGGAACAAACTCCATTATTATATTAATTAATTGTTATTTTTAAGGCTTTTAGTAGTTGAGTCTTGGTAAATATGCTGTTTTGGTTTATTATTTTTATCTTTTTACTACTAACCTTTCGTGGAGCCATTAAAGCTATTTTTAACCGTTTGTCCTGGTGGTTTGATATATTTATTCATTTTATTAGGTTTTTTTAATTTTAACATTTTGATACTTTTGGCATTCTAACCTCGCTGTAACTCTATCATTTATTATTATCATATTACAAAATTAAAACTAAATGGCTAGTATTTTAAATTTTTAACTTCTTATTACTAGGAAATTAAAAGGAATGATTAACTGATATTAATTAACTAGCAGAATTAATAAAATTGATTTTATTTATTGGTTGGTATCCTCCCCCTCCTTAATAATTACTAAATGTTTTCACGGAATTCTTGAAAAATAGGCATGATGCATAAATATATTATTTATTACAAGACAATTTTTCGCATTGATTATAATTTACTAATGTTTGCTAGTGCTGTTTAATGCTAAAAAATTAATAATGTTGCGAGGATAGAGTAAAATTGAGCCTAATCCTTGTCTTCTCCTTTCGTCTTTTTGCCTTTAAAAACCATTTTACCTTGGGCGTCTTTTATTCAGCGAATATGGTTAGCAAAAATCGAATTCATCCAGCGGCCACGGGTGGCTACCGCAAAAGTTCACCCGGCCCGCGGTTCTTCAATGGCAAATTGGTGGAGTAAGAAAGTAAAGGCTTCCTCACCAATGTCGGCTCGATAAAAAACCACATTCTTTTTTCACCCATCAATTTTAGTGACGAAACTAATGTATAACTTTTTCTTATTGCTTCCTTGTAGGCTTCAATCACCCACGGTTTCAAATTCCAAATTGGTCGTCATTATTGTTTTATATATATATTACTAACAATTATTCTGATAATGAAAGTTCAATTTACCGCAAACCCCCCCAAGTATTCAAGGGAGTTTATTAAATAAAGGCAGTAATATACAATTTTGCCCTACGGTTCTTTTGAGTAAATAAAACACTAAATTAAAATGTTGAATTATGAAATT